TCTCACTCTCTCAATAGCCTTTTCCTTTGAGGAACTTACTCAAGATTATAACAAGTTAATTCCTTCCTTGTGTGCGTCGGCTGCAAATAGGTTAGGGTAGAAAGAATAGAAGAAATGAAAGGTAGAAGAAAGGTTTTAAGGTATTAAACGAAATGGTTGAAGACAAGGAAAATGAAATTACGGAAAAGAAAGAGGTGACTTACAATTCAAGAAACAACACTTACTGCAACCTTTCTCAAGAAACAATAAGGTTATCTTCTCTTAGTGTAGATGGCCTCTTTGATGTACTTGCAAAGGTATAACACTTTTCCTTGGCTTGATTTCTCTTTTGAATTTCTTTTCTTTTCTTTTTTTTCTGATTTTTCTCTTCTTTTGTCTTTTTCTTTCTTTTTGCACTCCAATTTTGATGTAGGAGTCGTTTTCTTTTGCTTTGCACGCCAATGACACTTTTGTTGTCAATCCAACTATGCTCTGATTACCGCTTGATGTAAGGCGAATCTACAACGCTTTGGGAGAAGAGGGTAGATAGCCTTATTGTGTCCCATCTAGGATTGACAAGTACTGATGTCCTTGAATTTATAAGTTTGGGCTGCAAAATAAGATAAGAAAAGAATGATTAATAATGGAATTAAATAAGGGGATAATAATATAAGTAATGAAATGAAATATTAAGAATGAAATGAAATAAAGAAATGATAGAGATGGCTGCGGAATCGATGGAAGAGATGTATGATGTTGATGATGAAAGGCAATGGTGGTGATGTTATATCTCAAACATGCCAAAGAGGAAACTATGCTATGAAGCACAATCCCGGTCTTCACAAACTTGCTTGAGGGGTGGTGATAGTGTCTTCAACCCACTAGATATCAATCTAGGAATTTTGGAATCAAGATGGAAGGAATGACGCCACAAGTATAGGAACTATACTTATTTAATCGATAAAGTTCACAAAGAACTTTGAAGAGAAATAACTCACAAGAGTATGTTTTATATAAGAGATGAGATGAGTACAAATGAAGGCAAGCCACTCTATTTATAGGAAATGAGAGGGCTTGGCCGAATAGTTACATGATGTTTCGGCTAGATACATGTCTTTAGGAAAATAAATAATGCTTGAGATGAATGAATAAGTCCTTTGGGCTTGTGATGGTTCGACTTACTCTTCATGAAAGGCCTTAATGATTCGGTCAAAGGGTGGAGAGACATCTCCCTTGGCCGAATGGTGCATGCTTGTTCATCTTGGCGCCAATTTCCTCTCACTGGCCAAATAGTCATGTGCCTTATCATGTTTCGCGCCAAAGCTTCCATGTACAAGGCATGTGGTGTGACCGAATAGGTATGGAGCTCTATCTCATGTCTCTTGGTGATTTAAGCTTCCAATGCTAGCAATTCCTTCACCAACGTGCTCTTAGATGAAAAGGCATCTTCATAGGCAGCATCATTCATGAAAGGTCACAATGTTTGAGAAAGGTGTCCCTTCATGTTTGAGCTGTTTGAAATGAGCTAAAGGTGAGCTGGCCATAGATGACTTGTGACATGGTGAACGTTTGGGCAGCTCCTTGTGAAAAGGTACCTCTTGAGGTGGCAACTATTCGCGAAAAGGTACGATTTCACAACTTTTGACTTAGGACATATTTGAAGTTTCCTAAGTGGTGATGATGATGGTGCAACTCCCCAGCTGAAATAAGGTCTCTTGTAGCTCAAATCTCAGCTATGAGCTCACGGCCTCCGGACAACTTTTCACCAATTGTTCCTTGTGCTCTCCTAATCGATCCCATAAGTTTCTTGTTACATGCTCCATTTAGCTCTAATGCAGCCCCAAGTGTTGGTCGAATGTGCCTACATGCAATAACATAAAGAAACTAAGTATAAGCTATATAATGTGTATATTATAAGATTGTGACTATAGTATATGATAATAACTTGTATCTCATATATAAATGGATAACTTATTATATATAACTATAGGTATAATATATATTTATATGAAACTAACTATCTTATAACATATGAAATAAGCATCTATAGGTATAAAGATAGAAAGTTTCTTCCCTGGAGAGGTTGGATAGCCATGGTAAATATGATGCTGAATTGGATCACATCAAAAATAAACCATAAAATTTTAAATCCTTATATATGAAAATAACTATCTTATAACATATGAAATAAGCATCTATAGGTATAAAGATAGAAAGTTTCTTCCCTGGAGAGGTTGGAATAGCCATGGTAAATATGATGCTGAATTGGATCACATCAAAAATAAACCATAAAATTTTAAATCCTTATATTTTAGTTACTGACCCAAAGTTTGGGGTATTATACATCATTAGCGGTGCTCAACGATGCTCGTCGAGCGTAGCAGACTCATCCATTAAATAAAACATGATAGATGGAAACTTAATTTGTCTAATTGTAAAAGGTAAAGTACACAAATAGTTCATCAACTATAAGGTCATGCTTTGTTGAGTCCCAACTATTAAAAGTTATTAAATGGTCCATCGACTATAAGACGTCACTTTCTTGAGTCATCTGACTATTAAAAGTTACAAAATGATCACCATGATTATTCATTTGTTCCAAACTCGTTATTTTTCGTTAAAAATGACAGTCATCTGTGTTGAACATTAATTTGTTGACTAAGATACGATAAAATCATATTTTAATGTCTACTAAAACCACAGATTTTAACGAAAAAAGCCGAGTTTATAACATATGAATAGTCAGAAGACTATTTGTAACTTTTAATAGTTGAAGACTCAACAAAACAATAATATATAATCATGGAATCATTTGTATACTCTATCTAATTTTAAAACTACGGGTGCTCTTAAAAGTATTTTTACCAAAAAATAAGGGTCAAAATGTACTCCGCTTACCATCAAAACTAAAATATTTTTTTCTAAAAGAATATATAATTCAAAATATTAAGGGACTACTTAATTTATCTACTTTCAAAATTTGGAGGACTTAAAAAATAATTAAATTTAATTTTTAAGAATAAAGCATGTAAATATCATATCTTAAAAAAATGAAAGATATTAATCTCACACTAAGAAGAAGAAAATCTAGAAGTTTAAAAATATTGGCATTGCATATCTTTTATCAGACATGTCTTTCAAGAATAAAGTAATTATCTCGTAACAAATGATATCAGAACAACCTTTAAATAATATTGTAAATTTGATATTTTTCTATAGAAATTACGAAGTAGTATATGTTCTAAAGATTCTTAATCACTCAACAATGAAAACTCAATCACTCTTATAATGTCTTGTGCTGAAACCAAAAATATTTAAAGATGGCAATAATTCATTTGACCATTATGGCCTAAACTTTAAATATATTAGATTATAATTATCATTAATTTAAAATTTTAAAGATTATAAATAATTTAAATATAATAAAATAAAAGTACTTCAATTTTTTAAATTAAAATATTTCTTTTTCGACCTTGATTAACGGATAGCAAAGCAATCATTATAGGCTAACAACTATATCAATCACAGCAAAAGTTCACCTATCTTTTGTTCTTCTTTTCCCTTTCCCCCTCCATTGCCAACCTATATTATCTCATCATCAATTATGATTTGCTACGTGGAAATCGGTCCCACCTAAATCCTCCATGATTATTTTTGAATAAATTACATTCGTGATTACTTAATTATGAAATAATTTTAATTTGATTACTCATTTTTAATTTATCAATTAGACTAATTATTTAAATGATGTCAATCAAGATCTATCATTAACATTTGACGGAAGAACTAATGTGAAACTTAAATTCGGAGACGGATACTAGATTTTATGTCGGGAGGGGCGAACTTATAAAATTTTAAGTATAACAGAACTTATAAAATTTTAGGATTGACAAAAACATATTTTCAATAGAAATACAAAGAAAATACCTCAAATATATAAGAATTTGAAATTTTTAGGAGGGGTGACCATCTCTACCCGCTTCCCATTAGGTCCATCCCTATACTTAATAAAATTAATATAATTATATATTTGATTCTCATTACTTATTATTCTATTAATTTGATATTAATTTTATTTTAATTTAATAAAGTTAATCTACTGATCATGTGATCACGGGTGTAATTTATATTTGGATTAATGTCATTTTTTTTTGTCTTTAATGGAGCTCTCAAATCTCTCCAATGTGTCCTGAGTTTGATCTCTTTGGTGTTAACTTCAATTTCATAATTTTTAATTTATCAAACTGTGATTTATGTCATAATCTAATTAGGATAAATTAATTAACTAAAAGAAAATTTTATTATTCAGATTGCGACACATATTATCATCTGATTGAATAATTAAATTTATTGTTTCTAATTAAAATTAAAACTAAATTGATAGAACATGTTAATAAAGAAGATAAAAAACTATAATTACCTTAATTTACTTAACTATCATATCATTGTTTTTGTCAAATATTACCGGTTAATACTTTAATTTATTGTAATTTAATAATTGAATGACTAATTGAAAAAAAATCTAGTTCGATGGTAAAAATAAAACCAAACCTAGAATTAAGTGCATATCCGAGTATTTTACCAATTAAATAATTATAATTATAAATTATAAGTCGTAAATAAAATTTATGTTAAATATACTTAAGTAATGATAAAATAAAAACTAAATCAAATATAATAAAAATAAATCAAATCAAATTAATTTTTAAATGTCGTAAATAAAAGGGTAAAGTATAGTAATGGTCACTGAATTTTTTTAAAGCTTTCATTTAGGTCCCCCAACTTTTAAAACTTGCAATACAGTCCCCCAATAGTTACATCGGGGATCATATTGCAAACGGACTAAATGTTGAGGACCATATTATAAACGGACTAAATGTTGGGGGATTGTATTGCAAGTTTTAAAAGTTGAGGGACTTAAATGAAAACTTTAGAAAAGTTCAGTGACCATTACTATACTTTACCCTTTAAAATATTTTTATTCTTTTTTTTTTGGTAAATTAAGAAATCAAACAAAACGACTAAATGCCTCCTTCCTCCTGGAGCAGATCAAGGACTGCCTCCAGTGATGTGACGAACAGCTTTATTCCTCCATCTCCATCTCCGGCCAGTCTTGCCGTACAATCGGCTATCCTGCTTCCTTCTCGATAAATGTGTTCGAATTTGACCTCACAATCTCTCTTTAGTAGGCTCTCTATGTGGTGATGTAAAGTGGTAGTTCTATTTCTATCGTTATCTTGTTGGAATAGGTTCCTTACCTCCAAGCTATCAGTTTCAAGGATTACCTTCCGAGCGCCCCTATTCCAAGCCCTATGTAAGCCTTCATATACTCCCTCCGCTTCTAGAATCGAGCAGCAACCAATGTGTTTTAAAAATCTGAGCATCCATCGTCCTTCCTCATTGCGTATCACTCCCCCGCAATTTGCGTTACCATCGTGTGTTTTCCTGGAGCCATCAGTATTGAGCTTTACCAACCTTCGGGGGGTTTATTCCATCTGGTCATCACCCGTGTTGCTGCATCGGCTATCACCTGTGTGGAACTAGTTGATAGTTTTGCTTGGGTAAAGGAAGACACCAATCTTTTACTCCTCTCCGGTATTGAGTCTCCTTGAGAGCCATCTGGTTCAAAAGTTAACTTATTCCTAAAGTTCCAGAGGTTCCAAACAATGGCTACAAATAAGATATCCCAGTCTTCTCCATTAACTGGATATTGTTTCCTCTTCTCAATTCTAGTTAATAGCCGGTCCTTTAGGTTGGTTGTGAGAAATTCGTGTAAACATTCTTTGATTATCGATTGCCAAGTGGCTTTGGCAACCAAGGATTTACGTAAAAAGATCACCCCTTTTGCTTAAGCCTTAACGCAACGTTTGTGTAGCGACCGCCTCTCGGGTGGGTTCGAAATTCGGCTTCGACTTGGAATAGAATATTGGGAGTCGCCACCGATCATTTATTTTTCGTAAAAAATTTGGTTGATCGGATACCATCTTACTTGATCTGCGTTTTACCAGAAATATATCCAATTCGGGAGTCAGTTACAATCAAGGAAGGATTAGCACCCTTGAATTACCCTTTCGGTACCATTTAATTTGCCGGTTGTCTTAATTGCGAAAATTGAAATTGAAATTACAATTTGGATATTCGATTCAAATTACTTACATTTGATTGGTTAAAATTATCCTTTGAATATTTTGCTTTCGATTCTAGTTTTTGATTCCTGAAAATATATTCGATTGTTGTATTTTTATTGATCAAAATCCCCCCCTTTACATTGTTTTAGTGCCTGGGTTTTATACCCTTACAGAGGAAGAAAAAAACAAACAATAATGGAGCAATATGGGTGAAGCGGTATAGGCAGCGACACATCATGGTGGAGCTGAACATGGGTGAAGCGTTAGTGTGTTGTATTGGTGGCCGACAAGTATGGTCACGAGATGAGTGTATGAAGAGTGGGTGAAGCTGGCATGGGGTACTGCAGCATGGACAAAAATTGGTTATTACAACTGCCCCTCTTTGCGCATTCTTGTGTTAACAAGAATAGGACAAAGAGGAAAAAGACAACCAGTTTTTGTCCAGTCCTTTTTTGTTTTTGAGGCTTGATACATTTGTTAGGGAGTAACTGTAATTGGGCTTCAGGCTGAGCCTAGAATTGGGCCTTGGTCTTCTTCTCGATTAAAGACATCGGCTTGAAAATTCTTCCAGAAGGTAGTTCATCGTTGCTGCCATGCGGTTGATATGCCTATGAGCTGAATGAAATCGAACTCGAAGGTCTTTGATGTCAAATAACCCTTCTTGCCTTGAGCTATGCTTTAAATTTGATATGTCTGAGTGTAATCGAACTTGAAGGTCTTTGTTGACAGATAACCCTTCTATCCTTGAGTTATGTTGCAATTGATATGCCTTTGAGCTGAGTGTAGTTAAACTCAAAGGTCTTTGTCGGAAGATAACCCTTCTAGCCTTGAGTTGTGTTGTAAATGATGTGCCTTGGAGCTGAGCTTAGTCTAACTCAAAAGTCATTGATGACAGATAACCCTTCTCGCCTTGAGTTATGCTGCAAATGATGTGCCTTGGAGTTAAGCGTAGTCGAACTCGATGGTCTTTGGTTGGCAGATAACCCTTCTTGCCTTGAGTTATGCTGCAAATGATGTGCCTTTGAGCTGAGTGTAATCGAACTCGAAGGTCTTGGTTGGAAAATAACTCTTCTAGCCTTGAGTTATGCTGTAAATTATGTGTCTTTGAGCTGAGTGTAATCAAACTCGAAGGTTTTTTTGTTAGCAGATAGCCCTTCTTGCCTTGAGCTAAGCTGCAAATGAGCACGATATCCTTCGTCGTGAAGTTGAAATCGTGAATGACCCATTCATTGTGAAGTTGAGCCTCGATTTGGATATCCTTCGTCGTAAAGTTGAAATCCAGGAGTTGTATTGTTGCTGGTGGACACGATATACTTCGTCGTGAAGTTGAAATCGTGATGGCCCCTTCGTCATGAAGTTTGAATTGGATATCCTTCGTCGTGAAGTTGAAATCCAAGTTAAGTTGCATTGTTTCAAGGCCAATATCCTTCGTCATGAAGTTAAAATTGACTCTGAAACTGGAAAGTTTATTGACAAACACTCCTTCTTTGAGTTGGATATCCTTCGTCGTGAAGTTGAAATCCAATCTAGAGATAGATGTTGCTTGTGTGTACGATTCCCTTCGTCGTGAAGTTGAAACTGTGGATGTGTGGGCACGATATCCTCCATTGTGGAGTTGAAATCGTGGATCCGTTGGTACGATATCCTCCGTTGTGGAGTTGAAATCATGGATGACCCCTTCATCGAGAAGTTGAGCCTTGACTTGAATATCCTTCGTCGTGAAGTTAAAATCCAAGCTTGTGTTGTTTCGAGTCCAATATCCTTCGTCGTGAAGTTGAAATTGACTCTGAATGAAACTGGAAAATTGTTTGTTGAGTACAATATCCTTCGCTGTGAAGTTGAAATTGACTTTGAATGAAATTGTAAAGTTCTTTGTTGACAGACGCTCCTTCACTGTGAAGTTGAGCACCCACCATCAATTTCTGAATGTGCTTTTGAATCGAGTATCTTTATTCTTGAAGTTGAAACTTGAATCTAAAAGCTGCAAAAAATATGTATAAAAAATGATGATGTGATGATCTTAAGTATGTCTAAGATGCATGCAACATGAATTAGTTTTATCTCCTCGTGCTTTGTCTGCTTGTTCCTACATGTGGAGGAAATGCCTTCAGAAGATCTAATCGTTTGCATCAGGATGTTGAATCCCCAAATATGCCACAATATTCAATGTTGAATCTCCAAATATGCCCCAACATTTACTGTTGAATCTTTAAAGATGCCCCGTTGTTCCTTATTGCTTACTTCAGCACTAATTCTAAACATGAGCTTTGTGTCTAAGAGCCACATGTCAAATACCAAGATCCATTCTAGGGAGATTGTCTTGTTTGAAAAGTGTTTTTCTTCTTCTTTTATTTTCAAAAGTTCTGAAAATGTATTAAAAGAGTTTTGAAAAATGTTTAATCAAAAGTTTTGAAAATATTGCCCCTTTCTAGGTTTCACAGTTTAGACGAATCATAAAACTAGAGTTCATTGGACATCAAAGAATTAATTACACTGTTAATCCTTCAATAAATTATAGCTATTTGAAAAGTATTAAGATCAAAGCTATCTTCGGGAAATGCTTAAGAAATGAAACAATAAGAAAGTCTCGGGTTATTGTGTTTGGTAAATGGTTTGGCCTTCTTATTTCTTTGATGTTCATTGATATGATGGGGTAGCTTGTATGCTCCTCTATTGGACGTGTTCACCGGCTCCCTGCTCTTATGGTCACGCATTATGCATTGCCTTATCAAGGAATTTGTGCGATTGCCTCAACTGTACAATTTTTACATTCAAGCCACCTTTTCAGGTTCTCAATTCGAATCCTCCTTTGGTTTCAAGACGTCATTCAAAATTTACGTCTTGAACCCCTATTTGTTATTTTTTTCTCTATCATGCATTAAAGATTTTAGAAAACTTTTTGCAAATAAAGATTAATCCTGATGGACGAGACGAAATCTGAAGATATTCTCTTCTATTCAGAAAGTCATGTATGATTAGAAAGGACTTTCAAGGCACGTAATGTAGGCCATGGTTCATGGTTATGAAAGAAAAATGATAAATAGGCCCAAACAAGTGTTTCAAGGTATTGAACCAAGAATCAATTCATTCTGATGTCATCAATCATGTATTGCTCAATTTGAACCTGCTCGTATGTGTCTTTCTCTTGAAGTTATATGATCTTCGAGTGAAGTGATTCATGACTAATTGTGATTGATCAATCTCATAATTTGAAGCTTGATGCGTCATTTGACTCGAGAGAATCTTTACATGTGATTCTTAACCCTTTTTCTTTGTTTATTTTCTTCTTTTCTTTTTGATTCTTGTTTATTTCTTCTTTGCACTTGGCATTTGGTTCACCTTTCGATATATCCTCTGATTTGATGTCTTCACTCATGCGAGCAGATTTCTTCCACCTTGCCCCCCAGTGTGGATGGTGATCCTTGGTTAGGGTTGAATCAGAAGAAAAAATAGTATAGGCTCAAAAGGGGACAACAAGGGATAAATATATACATATATGGATAAATGAAACAAAGCCGTTCATCATCTCATACACAAAAGTCTTCGCATAAGAGGTATCTCTAGGGGGATAGATTTTCAATATTAAGTTTTATTCACATGAAAATAATGTAATTAATGCATGATAGAATCATTTCGAAGTAATTCTCTTTTCTGCTTCTTGCTCCCGACATGCCTCAATTGCTCAGGCTCGTCCTCAGAAGATTGCTTCGAGATGCCCCACATTGTTTATTCTAGTATAAAGGTTCATGTTCAAGTGAACAACTCAATACCTTAGGTTTTATTGGTAAAAAATGTTGGTTTTGCATCTAAGAAGACAATTGTGTGACTTTATTGACTCAAAGGTATCGGTATGACTCTCCATGGAGTATTTTGGGTAAAGAATCAATGGATTTTTTTGTTTTTTAACATGATATGAAAGGTCTAATCTTGCCATATGTCAAAAATCTATAATTCTTGAAGAATTAAAAGAATCCTCAATTCATTTAATATTCGAAGAACTAAAGATTAAAATTTGCTCAATTATTTCACCTTAGAAGGTAGCATAAATTCAGTCGTTTAGAAGATTAAACAAATATGAAAGATCGAAAACGTGTTCAAACAAAACAATGCTCTCAGTGCAAATGATAGATGCAATGTCTCTTTCTTTGATTATCCATACCCCTGAATCCATCAGGTTTTGGATCTTGCGTTTCAGTGCCTTGCCGTTCTCAGAGGAATGTCTGGAGCTTCCTATGTGATAACTGTGCACGATATCAATATCGTAACCCTCGAGATATGGGGACTCTTTTCTCATATCATCTTGGCAGGTTTGGCCATACAATCAGCTGATTAGGCTTCCACTGTGCTAATTTTAGTTTTAATTGATAAAATCTTTCTTCCATGTAGTGTCACGTGATTAAGAACGCTGCATCGAATCCTCCATGAAGAAATTTATGTTTATGAAAATGCTTAAAAATGAAATGTAGATGCAAAAATGCATGACATGCTCGAGGCATTGATCCTTATTAGGGACAAAAGTGTTTTATCTTTTAAGAGACAAAAATATCTTGACAGCTTCTGACATGTTGACTAGTCTTCTGCCTTCGTCTGTCACCGGTTGAATTACCTGTCAAAATGCTCCGGCTTCTCTGGATGAACCTTACAAATGTTAACCTCTTCGGATTCTCTGGATGAACTGTGCAAATGTTGAGTTCTTTTTTTACTGGTCCAAGAAGTCTCAAATGACTGCATCTCTGGCATTTATCTTTTGTTGAACCTGTTCCCAATGAATACGTCATTGGAGCCCTCAATTGATAGGAACTATATGAAGTTCATTTGTCTATTTCTTGAATTCGTCAGCAATGGTCTCCAAATCAGTAACCTTCATCTTGCCCCTGCAAACTCTGTCAGTTAGTTCTTCAAAAATAGACTTTCATTGTGATTGATGTAGACCTGGTTCATTCTGAGTCCTTTATAATGCAGCAGAGTGATATACTCTTCAATTGTGGGCACAACGTTTTCTAGATCGAATGTGACACATAGTCGCCTTGTATACTGTCCTCTGTATTTTCATCTCTTGTATTACAACCCCGTTATCTATTAATGCAAATTATTTACGTTTAATGAACATGTTTTTGTAGATCAACACCTCTTTTAAATGATGCAAATGATTAAAATAAAATAAAAGAGAACAAAAATGAAAAGAGTTAGTGAGGTAGAGATAATAATCAAAACAATCATGAAAATAAAAGTCCTACCCACATGATATCTACCCTACATGCTTATTATTCCTACTCGGACATGATTTATATCACGCATGCTAACAAATCCTAATCGCATATTTGTCTAGTTCACATGCTTTGAACAGAAAATAAAGCAGGAAAGAAAGTAGCCTAGGGTTTGGAATGAGGTTTCGGGGAAGGCTCTAATTCTCCTAGTCTCCCGGTTTAGGTTCTAAAAAACGGTACCCGAGTTCTCCTTGCCGGTGCCCCCTTGGGCTTTCCAGACCCTTAGTCCTAAACTCATCACAGGCTTGTGTGGACTAAGTTAAAACTCGAGAGGACATATTCCCTAATGTTTATGCAGAGAATAAATTCACATGAAGACATAAGTTATATGAATCCCGAAGTTTACTTGCTAGGCCTATGCGGTGAATAAATTCACACGAAGGCGTCGCTTTCACCCCCACTTAAAAACGGGTTCGGAGCTCGGGTTTAGAGCCTTAAGTGAAAAAAGAACTTTGATGGCTGAAATCATTAGAAAACGATTAGTACAACTATTTACTCAAAAATATAATCCAAGATAAATAATTAGAATCGAATAGATAAATTAAAACTTAAATTTTTATTTTCGCTTAAAAAGACAACCGAAAATTAATTATGGCCTGACTCACTTACCTGTGTCCCCAGCGGAGTCGTCAAACTATAGCGACCGCATCTCGGGTATGCCCGAAATTCGGCTTCGACTTGGAATAGAATATTGAGAGTCGCCACCGATCATTTATTTTTTGTAAAAAATTTGGTTGCTCGGATACCATCTTACTTAATCTGCGTTTTACCAGAAATATATCGGATTCGGGAGTCGGTTACAATCAATAAAGGATTAGCACCCTTGAATTGTCCTTTCGATACCATTTAATTTGCCGGTTGTCTTAATTGCGAAAATTGAAATTGAAATTACAATTTGGATATTCGATTCAAATTACTTACATTTGATTGGTTAAAATTATCCTTTGAATATTTTACTTTCGATTCTAGTTTTTTATTCCTGAAAATATGTTCTGATTGTTGTATTTTTATTGATCAAAATCTCTCCTCTTTGCATTGTTTTAGTGCTTGGGTTTTATACCCTTACAGAGGAAGAAAAAAACAAACAATAATAGAACAATATGAGTGAAGCGGTATAAGCAGCGACACATCATGGTGGAGCTGAACATGAGTGAAGCGTTAGTGTGTTGTGTTGGTAGCCGATAAGTATGGTCACGAGATGAGTGTATACATAGTGAATGAAGCTGGCATGGGGTAATGCAGCATGGACCAAAAATTGGTTATTACAGTTTGGAAAAACTCTCAATTGAAAAAACACTGATTCGCTGATCACTTACATATTACAAAATGCCTTCCTTTTCGTTTCTCAACTATCGTCATCTTTTTCATGGCGGCCGTCTCACCTCCGCCGTCTTTTGGTTCACAGGCGGCTTGTATGGTTGCGGATCCTCCTTTATCGCCTGACATTATTCCCCTTTTGCCGTCTACTGGTGGAGCTTCACCAGCTACGACTCGCTCTTCCTTGCCCAACACCGTTCCTTCCACCCCATGTCCCCGTAATTCCGGTGGCTTAACGGCTGCTCCCGCCGCATCTGCGCTTCCACTACCAGCTTCCTCCACGTCTTCTAGAATTCATTTGGGTCTTACCGGTTGGTGGTGTTTTTAGTTGTGGCAGCTTATCGCTTAATTTAACGCGGGGTTTTTTTTCTTTTTCTGGGTTTTCTTTGCTTGACAGTCAGGTGACATACAGTTCCGTCCACCGCAGCGGTGTTGGCACGTGAGATACACGAAACGACCACAAATTTGGCGTTTAATGTTACTGAAGAGTCCATCACTTGTTGGTTGATCATGCTTAATTAGACATGTAAATAAGGCGGGTTTGGTTGATTTTGGGTGAGATTTATCATTCTTGAATTCTAATTTTATCAATTTAATTTATTTTAGTTCTGGGTCTGAATTATCCTAAGTTTGAATTATTTAAATTTGTCAATTAATATTACGGTTTATGTCATTTTGAGTTGTCTCAAGTTTTATATTTAGATTAAATATTTTAATTATTTTGAGTTCCAATTATTTTAAGTTTCTATATTTATGATCTGGGTTGTTTTGTTAGCTTTCTATAATTAATTCATATATAAATTTATCAATCAATTTTTTAATATAATATTTCTTCTGTCCCACTAAACGTAGTCCTTTTGGTTTTTAAAATTATCACGTACAAAATGTACTATTAAAAATTTCGACAAACAACACTACTTATATTTCTTTTTTATTATTGTAAGACTCACTCTTTTACACTTATCAAACTAAATTATCAAATCTATAAATCATTTTTTAAATTTTTTTATCATTTCTCTTAATTTTCAAATCTATAAATATTTTTTAGAATTTTTTTATCATTTCTCTTAGTCAAACACATCTCATAAAATTAAGTTTACAATTAATGTTAGACACAAATTATGAGACGAAAAGAGTATATAATTTTATACACTATCGATATATTATTTGTTTGATCATAACGACCAAAATGAATTAAGTCCGATTTAAACTTCTTGGAACGAATGGACATTTCACTCAGATTTGACAATTCCGATCTAACTTGATCGGATCAGGTCATTTAAAAAAACGAGTTCAGATCAACTTAGATCATGTTTTTTTAAAGGTATAATCATGTGATCTCCTAAACCCGAGTCTGGTCAAATATAAATAGAGGAGTTGGATCATATACTTTTAAAGGTGTAATAAGGAGTTGGATCATCCCTATTTATTAGTCAATTTTTCAATTTTAGTAATACATTCAAATCCAAAGGTTAAATGCCACGTGTTAAAGATGACTACACGAACCAACTGATTGAGAGTTGAATGAATGATTTTATCATAAAACAAATGCCTCATGACACCATGGAAACGAGACATCAGAGTTCTTACATACTCTAACCACAACGATGAAGAACAACCAAACTTCCATGTCGGTTTAAATGTTCCATAAGCAACAAAAACAAACCTAACATTACGACAACATTCTAAGCGGATTTCTGCTCCACGAGCTTCTCGATCAGATCCGCTGCATCTTGAACGGTGAGGATATGCTGGGCACTTTCTTCTTCCACACTGATTCCGAACTCCTCCTCGAGTCCCATCACAATCTCGACCTGAAAATATCATCGGAAGTTTTTTTTCATGCAAATTACAGACATAATAGATCTCTACTCATTCATCCTAATATCGGAACAGATCAGTCCATAGGGTATATGTTGGTTACCGTGTCAAGGGAATCGGCTCCGAGTGCACTAAACTTCGACTCTCCGGTAACTGGAGAATCTTTGGGCAGTGCCAGTTGCTTCCTCACTATGCTACAAACTTTGTCCACAGTCTCGGGTTTAGCCTGAACATATCAACATCCCATTAACGGGTTAAGCACATCGATTTTAATTGAGAAATGCATGTAAAGGCTTCATCATCGTAACGCAATCGATAAAGTATGCACTATGTTACCCGTACTCGGAGGTGAATGTTAGATACAAGTATGCTTAATCCACCCCAAAAATTTTCACATAAACCTTGAGAATCAAACTCCCATACATGTATCCAACTATGTGAAGAACACGAGTGTCGGATATGGATACTATAGGGGAACCGAAAATCCCGGATAACATATGATATGCATTGTAAATCGAATCTCTTTAGATTGATAAATTTTCCCAGATATCAGCCATGGTTAACAGTCCTTTCATTGATAGATATTAATGATCAGCAAGTCGGCTATCTTATTCGGCATTGAACGAAATCAAATCGCTAAACGACTATATTCACGGATGCAGATCAACAAATCGAGACAAAATGGGGCAGGCAAAAGGGAAAAAAACCATACCGCGCATGAAACACGAAGGCGCAACGATCCGAGCCGCATTCCACGAGACGGGAGGCTAACTGAGTTGACATTACAGATCCCACGAAGAAGTACCTGCGAAAAAAGAAAATAGAATTGAATAAAATCAATGGAACCTCTTTCAGAGTATTAGGCTGTATGGGTGAGCAAAACTCAACTCCACCCGAAAAAATCGAATTTTTCGACTTGACTCAACGCTAAAAAACATTCGACTAGACTTGAATAAATTAGTAATTTCATAAACTCAACTAGATTCGAAGTAAAATTTGAGTTATAAAATTCAACTCGAATAACCTTTTTTTTTACTCGATCAAATTCTCATCCTATATCGAAATCAGATTGGAGCTCGAAACTCGGCTCGAACTCAAATGAATTTCACTTTTGAAACTCGAGCGCTCTCGATTAAGCTCATTTGCCCAAGTAAAGAAGGAAGTTGATCTTCATCTGGACTTCCAGATCGATTCTTTGAGCATAAACTCGAATTCAAATTGAAAAATTTTCATTAAATTATTCAAATTTCATAATTGAATCCAAAACCCATATTAAAACAAAATCTAAAACAAACCCATCAAAGTAATCGACATTTCTAGCCAAATCTAACTAAAAAAAAACCCCAAAAAATGAAGGAAAAAAAGTAAGAGATGAAGATTCAGAAATAACCTTGTTTTGCTTGAAAGAAGTTGAAAGAGGGGAGAATTTCAATGAAAGTCCAGTTGAAGAAGCCATTGAAAGCGGGGTTTTGCTCGATAAAATCAAAGGAAAGAGAGGAAGAAGGCGGAGATCACTAAGAATGAAAAGATCTTTGTTGTTTTGTTTGCTTTATAGTGGTGGAGTTGTTGAGATTTGAGTGGCGATTTTCCATTTATCTCCCTCCTTTCAATTTCATAGTTTGTATCGAAACAACACTTTGTCGTCATGCCTGCCTTCACCACTAAGCAAAGTTTAAGGTCAAACTTTGCTATTAGACCTTTGATTTTTTAAGTATAAGTTTTATATCTGTAATCTTTTGAATTTTAAAATTTTAATTTTGATTTGAATTAGATACCAACCCAATAAATTTTGGAAACAATGTAGGCTAATTGTTTTTTGAGATCCAGATTATTTGTTATATTACTTGTGAAACTTATCACGGGTGACAAGTTTCATAAAATATATTAAAAATAAAACTCGTCATATGGACAGAAATAAAATTATAAACTCGTCATGAAAGAATGATTAATTCTAATTTCTTTTGAAAAGGACGTTTTGTATGTTATTAACTTGGACAAACATACAAAACAAACGACAATACAAGTCCTCGTTAAAAAACCTCTCTATCCCTAATAGAAGGAAAATTAGTGCCATAAGCAAAGTCAAAATAGCAAATACAACGAAAAAGAACAATCAAAACACCTTAACACTACCTGCACCAAACACACAAAACAAGCAACAACTTCCAATCGACAAAGAAAACCCAACAAAGCAGAACAGCAGCGTCATCGGACCAGAATACAATGAATTCATACAAAAACAGCAACGACTTAAGAAACTAGCAAAGCAAACACCACCACACCCATTAATCAAAACCGGTCAAACAATACCAAAACCAACCACCCACTATATGAACAGCGACTTCAAACCAGAAACAACAAGCTCAATGCAGAGCCAAACCACACCCCCACGTTACCTTAAACAACACAGTTCCACAGCGCACCCACCAAAACAACTAACCTTAAAATATAAGCAACCAACTTCGACTTCTACTACAACAAGAATCCAAACATTGGACCAAGAACACAACATAGACAGAAAAGCGATCCTCACTGAACCTGTAAGAGAAACTATTCCCCCCAAACCACACGGCCACATAACACAATTTAAATTCACAAGTTATCCACATAAAACACCATTAACATTACTGACCCAATCGAAAGCACAATGAACCAGATAACAACGAAACCACACCACCAAAACAGAAAATGCTTCACCTGCGAAATTGGATATGAACATCGAGATGGATTAAAAGATTCGACAACAAGAACTGCTCTAGCCACTTAGCTTTACACCAGAAAGATATCCTCTGTATGGCACCCTCAAACAATGACTCATCATTCCAATTTGTCTTCTTAAATACCGCTGCATTCCTACCTAACCAGATCGACCAAATGAATCCGAAAAGTGCTACCATTCATATCTCTTTACAAGATTTGGTAACCGGAACTTCCACTCATTGCATCAGCAACGATTTAACATCCCCTGACATAACAAAATTAAGGCCCCAGATTTTACACCACCTCATCCAAGCTTTCCACCCAAGGAGACACTGGCAAAACACACGATTAATAGACTCACTGCCTATCAAGCATAAACCACACCTAAGAGAATCCAATGATAACCCCCTTTTACTAACTCCACATTTGTCGGGATTCTACTAAGAATAACTCGCCAGACTAAAGCGTGTACTTTTGGTAGAGGAAGAGCTGACCATACCAAAGACCACAATTTTTTATTTTCCACCCTCTATTGCTATGATGCGACAAAACTCTCTAGGTGTATAATGTTCACTAGAATGCCCCACCCACCGTAAAGTATCTCGCTCCCCCAATCTAGGGACGAACCTGTTAATCAAATTCATAAAGTCAATCCAAACAGGGACCTCCCACTCGAATAATGTTATTCTCAATTCAATATCCCAAATCCACCGGTTATTGGAAAAATGACCAAAATCAGCAATTTTGCCCTCTTTCTTCAGAGCGACAACGAAAATCCTCGGATAAGCTATTTTAAGAGACCTCACGTCAGTCCAAAATTCCTCCCAAAAGGTGATACGCCTTCCATCTACCACTTGAAACTTTAAATTCCTGTAAAAAAACATCCTCCATCGAGGACAGTGGCTCCATCATATTTTTCCACGACCACGAGGCATTCCTAAGAGTGGGAACACTAGGGAGCAAGGACCGGCCATCTAACCCATATTTCTCGACCGCTACCCTCCTGCAGAGACTATTTTGCTCCCTAATAAAGCGTTATACCCATTTATTCAATAGTGAGCAGTTTCTAGTACGCATATCCACTAGGCTTAAACCTCCATAGTCTACCGGTTTACACAAATGCTTCCAACTAATCCAGTGAATTGGCTTTCCTTCTCTAGATTTCCAAAGGAAATTGGCAATAATTTTGTTCAATTTAGTAGCTATCCCGGTCTGCAATTGGAACAGAGACATATAATACACTGGTAAATTTGCAAGTACATATTTAATCAAAGTAAGACGACCACTGAACGAAAGCATTTTACCCTTCCATCCTTAAGCCTCGATTCAAACTTCCTCACAATCGAATTCCATAAGGATATAGAGTTTCTCGGCGCGCCCAACGGTAATCCTAAGTACATCGACGAAAACTTCTTAACCCCACACTTCACACTGTTTGCCCAACTCCTGGTACACGACTCATCAACATTCAAACCATAAAGCTTAGATTTGCTCATGTTCAAACCAAGGCTTCCCACTAGTTCAAAAATTCGAAGAATTCATTTCGTATTTACTATGGACTCAGCTTTAGCTTCCAAGAACATAATAAGATCATCAACAAATTGGAGATGCTTAATGTGAAGATCACCTGAACCAATCGGAGCACCTTTAATTATCCCAACAGACTCAGCCTTACTGAACATAATGAGTTCTAATTATTTATTATATTTTATGAAATCGTCATTCTCTTATAACAAATTCCACGCGTTATACATAATGGCCTAGATCTAAAAATAATTTTTGATCGCCTAAATAATTCAATATTTTTCCCTGAATTATTTAGTCACAAAAGCGGATACAACCATTTAAATACAATTTTAAAACTATCAAATTGGATCATATGATCAAATTTACAACTTAAAAATATAGAAATTGATAATGAAATCTGATATAACATATATAACCATTATCATTATAGTCAATATTAATTTTTTAAAGATAAATTAAAGATTAAATTTATAATTTATAATTTAAACAAAATACAAGAAATAAAGTTTTATAACTCAAAAATTGTTTTTCTAAAATAAATAATATATTTTTAATTCGATAAAAAATAATAGGATAAATTATACTATTGACCACTCAACTATGTAACCCTTTTACTTTTACCACCGATTTTTTAATTTTGTCAATCAGACCACCTAATTAATAATTTTTATCAATCAAGCCACTCGTCGTTAACGGATAAGATGATGTGGCAGTTAAATATTTTGACATAATTACATATTCGGTCCTTCTTATTTATATATGTTGAAATATATTTTGATATAACAAATTAAGGCAAAATGTTTTTGGACTTGAATTGAATTTATTCAAAGTTTTCAAAAATATTTCAAAGTCCATTTAACTTGGAATTGAGCACAAAACGTTTTTCTGGACAAGAAGTATTGATATTGTTCTTACAATATCGATACCTCATGAACAATATCGATAATGTTCATATGGTACTGATAATAAAGGTAAGGAAAGTATCGATACTCAATAGGTAGTATCGATACTACCAACATTGCTCAATTCCATAATGCAAAAATGGTACCGATACCCAATGGGGAACCGATACTACTTTACATAGTAGTATCAATACAATCAGGCCCAACGACATAGTAGTATCGATACCCTATGTACTGGGCAGTTTTATTTTGTAGAGAAAATATCCCCAACAGCTCTAAATTACTCCCAATGGCTAGAAACAACCACAAACTCATTCCAACATATGAATACAAGTTCAAGACACTTGAAGAAGGGTCATAACACCTATCAAATCAATCAAACACAAGAGAAGAGTTTTTCATTCCTATTTTACTTTCTCTTGTAAATATTTTGTTCTTATGAGCTTTAATTTGTAAACACTCTACCTTTAAGAGGTTTTATTTGTTTACTTCTTTTTACCTTTTGTAAAGGGGATTGGTTCTAGTTTAGCCAAGTGAAAAACTAGGGAGTTTGTAAAGGTTACTCTTGATCCTTGAAAAAGAAAGAACAAATTAGTGAATTTGTTGGAAAATCCTTAGTGAGAAGCTAAGGTAGTGGAGGTAGACTTAGTTGAGAAGTCGAACCACTATAAATCGTCGTGCAAAACTTTCTATTTTTATTTCTCCTTACTCCCTAAACAATTTTTGCCAATTCACCCCTTTTGCACATTTTTCAGTTGTTCAATTGAGCCTTTTCGATCCTAACAATTAAGTATGGGTTTGAAAAATTCAATTTCTCAATGATAAAGGGGGAGTTAAACATTTTCCAACAATTGGCTTCTTTTTCATTAAATATCGATTCCGTCAGGCCCAACGTCTAGTAATGGCTATTTTTATTTAAACATAACAAAGGTAGTACCGATACTCCATATAGGAGTATCGATACCCTATGTACTGGACAATTTTATTTTGCAGAGAAAACATCCCCAACGGCTCTAAATCACTTCCAAAGGCTAGAAACGGCCACAAACTTATTCCAACATATAAATACAAGTTCAAGACACTTGAAGAAGGGTTAGAACACCTATCCAAGCAATCAAACAAGAGAGAAGAGCTTTTCATTTCTATTTTCCTTTCTATTGTAAATATTTTGATCTTGTGAGCTTTATTTTGTAAACACCCTACCTTTAAGAGGTTTCTTTGTTTACCATCTCTTTCATTTTGTAAAAGGTGTTTTGTTTTAGTTTAGCCAATTGAAACTATGGAGTTGTAAAAGTTACTTTTGATCATTGAAAAAGAATGAACAAATTAGTGAATTTATTGGAAAATCCATAGTGAGGAGCTAAGGTAGTAGAGGTAGACTTAGTTGAGAAGTTGAACCACTATAAATCGTAGT